ACACACACACACACACACACACACACACACACACACACACTCGCATACACACACACACACACTCTGACAGCAGCCCAGAGCAGGCACAGACCTTTTATTTATGGGGAATTATCAGAAAACGAGCGGTTAAGCCCAAAATCGCTCCTTCAACCTCTCGGCTGTCTAGTTTTTTACTCGGCTAATCTTTTGCAGCCATTTTTAGGGGTTTCATATTGAGGGGATCCTCTTTGAAGGTCCTCAGAGGCCCAAGGTGTCCCACCCTGAATCTGGCCAGCGTTGGACCTCCAAAAACCACAGATATCCAACACCTGAAGCCTAAGGGGTCCAGAAACTATTTATAAAAGAGTTCAGCCTCAACTTTAAATAAAAACTAGTGATTTCAGGGTCAGAGTCTTAACTCAGATGATGAAAACAAAGTCTCAGAATACATTTCTTAACCAAAGTTTCTCTGTGGGAGGATGAAAGCTAAAGAAACAGAAAAAAATATGAGTAAAATAATTTTTCTCTGTGATTTTGGCGGCACTGAAATACACTTAAAATGGGTAAATGTGGAATAAAACCTTAGCCGTGTTATTGTACTGTTAGTGTTTCTCCTTTGGTTGAGAACGGTGCAGCACACTCAGCCTTTATCTCGTCTATCCTCATAGTCCAGCTTTTTAAAGGACATATTTTGTGTAGAAAAACCCATTCATGTGCATTTTAAAGTCCCCTTTTGGTAATTATTCAGAAAATGTAGCATTTTGTGACTAAAAAAGAGTCATTTTGGGCTTACCCGTACATCCAACTTCCCAAACTGTCTGTCTGTGTTATTTCCTTTTCCACTACAAACATTTACACCATTTGTTAAAAGTCTTTAACATTGAAATTTGGAATACATACATTCCTATAGTGGCTAATAGCTCCTGTAATGGTGCCACCATCACCAGTCCCTGTGGTGGTATGTGGTGGTATGGGCCCTTTCCTTTCCCCTCTGCTTTGGTCCTCCTCCTGTTGAGTTTTTGGCCGGACAGGCTCTCTCTAACTGCCCGCTGGTTTCTCACTGCCCCTCTTCCTTGTGTCCCCACAGAGTGCCTTTGTTGATAGCTTGGAAGGAGACAGTCCCTTTACCAAGAAGCAGGTCTTTCCCTCATTTCCTCCTGCATTATCTCTCTGCACTGAGCTGGGTTTTGTTGCACTCCTCTCCCTCTTCCCCCTCTCTCCCACAGTCTCTCTCTTCTCTTTCTTCTCTTTCTCCTTCCTCTCTGTACTTGTATCTTCTCTCAGTTTCCGTCTTCATCCATGCACCTTTTTTGTTTTTTGTTTTTTTAATGAAAATCAGAAACTGCCCCAAGTAGAAATTTCTAGCTCATTTGCTTTACCTGCATGCCCTCATCTTTTTTTTGTTGTTTTTTGTCTCCTCATTTTCTTGATTACTCTTAACTCATTGACTGCCAAAGGCGTCTATAGAGGTCTTTTATGTTTTTCAACGAGAGTGGCTGGGGGACGATCTGCTAAAGCTTGTCCGTAAATATCAGGCTTCTAGACAGAGTATGTAGTAACAAATTGACCCTCTAGGGGGCAGTGCCACTTTTGATGGGAGATGAGCATAGACTGTAGGCAAATAAGAAAAAGCTAACGGTTCGCTATGAGAGAACATGGCGCCGGTGAGACGCAAGTCCAGGAAGAACGGAATAAGGTAGAAACAATTTTTTTTTCCTAATGAAAGAAGAGAGTCTACTCTTTCTTTTGGTGTGTTCGGTGTTTACATAGTCATAGCACAAACTATTCTGTGGCTCTTGAAAAATCAGTCAAAATGCTAAAAAAACTCTGGCAGTCAATGAGTTAAAAACGGCCTCTGAAGCTTTTGGCTGAATTTTCTTTTAAATGCGGTTAAAAATTGATGTGAATTCTGCTTTTTAGATGTTGGTTGTTTTCAAGTCTGCTCCCATCCTGAAGCGAGCTCTGAAGGTAAAGCAGGCCATGATGCAGCTCTACGTCCTCAAACTGCTGAAGATCCAGACCAAGTACCTGGGCCGCCAGTGGAGGAAGAGCAACATGAAGACCATGTCGGCCATCTACCAGAAAGTACGGCACAGGCTCAACGACGACTGGGCCTACGGGAACGGTGAGTGAAAGGTCTTCATGTCTAACAGATTCAAAATCTGACTCAGAGTATCTTCTGATTCAAAAGATCTCGGAGCAGCTCTGGTGACTCGGCAGAATCTTACTTAAGAACGAGATGAAGTAAACTTTAGAGCAGACTTTCCCCCATTTTTCCCCTGTTTCTTCTTCTTCTTCTATGAATTAGAATCACGGCGTGTGATCACACCCATCTCTTCTTCTACTTGTAATTCTTGTTCTTGTTCTTCTTCTATGAATTAGAAAACACAACGTGTGCTTCACAGCCATCTGTGGAATTTTTTTTTTTTTACATCGTGTGTACTTTTTATAGCTCTGCTTTGCTCATGATCTATAACAGCAGTCCTTTCTTCTTTGAATGGTCAAGAAAAAGCCCAAATCCCACTCCCAGACGCATCCTGAATACCTTTTTATATCTTTACAAAAAGATAAACTGATCAGAGACTTCAACAAAAATAAGAAATCTACTAAAGACTGTCAAACAGGGCTGGATAAATCATTACTTTGAGTGTCTGGTTGCTCTGATTTCTGTATCAACACACTGCTGTCATCCACCAGTGAACAGCCTGGATGGTGTTACCATAGCAACGGGGACCTTTCAGGGTCACCTCCCCTAGAGGGAGAGCTGGTGATCTGTCCTTGAGTGTTGGAGATGGAGGGATGGACAGAAAGATGGAGGAGGGTGGGGGTGACAGCATTAAAAACACCGGCAATGGACACCGTAAATAAATACCTTTGGAACATAATGCTTGCTGCTGGAAAAAAAGCCATAACTAAGAAATGGATGACAGTCAGCCCCCACGATTTCAAACTGGATTGAAATCATGACTGAAATGAGAAACACAGAACAAATTACTTTTAAAATTCACTTGAAACTTGACATTTTTCACAAACTTTGGGCAAAATGGGACTCCTACAGCAGTGTTTTTCAACCTTTTTTGAGCCAAGGTACAGTTTTTCATTGAAAAAATCTCGAGGCAAACCACCAACCAAAAATGTTAAACAAATCTGTAGCCGCCTATAGAAACACTATAGTTATTCTTCTTTTATTCTTATCTTAAGTGCATTGAATAGGAATCAAATAAACACAAAAATGAAATTTTATATTTCTTCTTTCAAATTGCACTTAACATGTCCACTTCAATATACAAAATTATATACAAAATCTAGTCATAAGGAATTTTTACATGATTACGCCACCAGTCACCAGTAATTCCTTATCAACATTATTTTTTAAAACCAATTAGGTTTAGGTTTAGGATGATTTTACACTAGTGTACCGAGGCACAGTGGTTGAAAAACACTGTCCTACAGGGTAAAGTGTGCCGTGCATCAAAATGGTTCACGATTCATCGCTACTTTCAACAAGCTGCATTTTTGCCAACTGCTCTCTGTGTCGAACTGTTCTGTGTTATTAATGTACTGAAAACTTTGAAAAAACAAAATCTAAAAACAATAAAACGGTTTCCTCCTTCTCCCCCCCCCATCCCAGACATCGACGCCCGTCCGTGGGACTTCCAGGCGGAGGAGTGCGCCCTGAGGGAGAGCATCGAGAAGTTCAACGGCCGGCGCTACGATAGAAACCGCGGCGGGGACTTCACCCCGGTGGACAACTGCCTGCAGAGCGTGCTGGGCCAGAGGGTGGAGCTGCCCGAGGACTTCCACTACAGCTACGAGATGTGGCTGGAGAGGGAGGTCTTCTCCCAGCCCATCCAGTGGGAGGGGCTTCTGCAGCACCCATAGGTGGAGGGGAGGGGGAGGTGGAGGGGAGGGGGGAGGAGGGGCCTCTCCTCTGGAGCAATAACCAGAAGACGGCCTCACACCTTTATGCTAACATGCTAACATGTGCCTACGACTACTGTGAAGACGCCCGACAGGTAAGGACTGATGTAGCAGTCGGTTACACACATCTGGTAGCAGGACACTGTTGTACTGCCCCCCCCCCCCCCACAGTGGTCAGTTTATCCTTCTTTGACATGTTGGTGCTTCTCTGAGGTTTTCCTATCGGTCTGTAGCCGCGTGGGTTCGATATTCTGTGGTAACGGATTTTTTTTTTTTTAAAGGTTTACATAAAAAAATTAATGATTTTTATTTTAAAAGACTTTGTTTTTTTGTTTTTTTTGTATTTTCTAGAACAGATCAATAAATTACAGGGTCACGGTAGTACAAATGTAGACACTGGAGCTTTTTGCTCTGAAAAACCGAAATATGCCAGCTTTTTGTGTTTTAGTGTGTTTGTGGATGCAGAAAGGAAAAGGGAGAAGACGGATTCTGGGGTGTAAAATGGTAAAACTATTAAAAAAAAAAATTAAAAAAAAAAGAAAATCGACAGCACAAGTCTTTAGGGTCAAACTTGTGATAGGCAGCTGGGTCTTTTTTTTCCATAATCCGAGAGCATTAATAGTTATGGGATAACTGTGGGGTTATCCCCCCTGTTTAGAGAACAGTTAAAAAATCAAAAAAAGTTTGTTAAGCTCTGTATTTGCATTCATCATACAACTGGGTTATTCCACCTGTTTAGAGTTAAAAAAAACAAAACATTTGTTAAGCTCTGTATTAGCATTCATAAGATAAGCACAACCCTAAAACGAACCACATCTCAGAAAACTTCTAGTTCACGGCAGGAATTCTGAAAGAAGGAAAACAATCCTAAAACAACCCCTCCTAACTCTGGTGGTGTTTAGTGTGTTTTGCATGCTTGGAACAGCTTGTGGGGGTCAGCCCATAGAGGCCCTGGTGCTGTTCTTCATCACTCTTCCTCAACCTGCAGCTGCATAAGCTCTGTAGAAACGTGCATGACCACCGTCCCGTTGTCCAATGTGCTATTTCTAACCACTAGAGTTTTGTCGGAGTGTCCGAAACACTATTATAGTTGTACTTTTTCTCTCTTTTGAGTCAGTGTTGTGTATCACAAAGGATTTTGTGTCCTATATTTAAAAACGGCATCCTTTATAGAGTCTCAGGTTTATGGAGATGAGATATTTCAAGACTTTTTAAAAGCTTCCTTGTCCAGCTCACCAGAGAATAAAACCTATTTATTGAGATAATCTAACGGCATTTACAGCCAACGCTTGATTGTGAGTCTGTGTTTGTGTTAGTTGAATTTCAGCGTCCGATATCTTTTTGGATCTTGTGCCAAATTGGAGTGCCATTTAACGAGTTTTCATTTTTGTTTTGTCGCTGCCATAATTGCTGAAGATGTTGCAATAAGAACACTTAATTTTCTATCTGAAAACGCTACAATCAATAAAAACGGCTGTTTGTTGTCACTATTTTACCAGGTGTTCATGGATGTAACTGCAGTATTTATATAGGTATACATATCTCACTCTCTCTACACAATTATGTGTGTGTTTATATATCTATCTATGTCTATAGATATAGATGGATATATATATATATGATGTTTTTTTGTTAATCTTGTATGTCTATATAGTCTGGATAAGGTAAACACTCAGTACTGAATTTGTTCAGGGGTATGTGCAATTACAGATCCATAGAGGCATTATACAACAGAGAGACAAATTACAGTATCAGAGTTTCTTATTAAACAGTGTTGAACACTTGATTTGTTTGTGAACTGATTTTTTCCACTTGTTTTTGTGCATAAACAACACAGCGACGGTCAAAGTGACTCATCACCGTCTGGGATGAAAAAATACCAGAACTCGTCCTTCTCCCTCACCAGCTTACATTTATTAGACCAGCACCCCCCTCTGTTGTTTAACAAAATACAGAACTAATTATTTAATTTAAGCTTTAATCTGGTTTCTCACAGGAGGAAAAATCCATTTGATCAGCTTGTGAACATCACAGCAGAAGCTTTCAAAGCAGAGCAAAGCTAGCGAGTGGTCTCAGAGCTTCTGTAATAAACCGGAGAGCCTCGGGGGTAAAACGGGAGTCCCTGGCTGATTTAATGTGTTAAACGAAGCGCATACAAACAGACACGCTGCTACAAAGAAGCGACCAGTAAAGCAGAGACGCAGCTGAGGGGAGACTCAGCATCAGACACGACTCGCTGCCTTCAGATGTTCACACGCTGCTCGTGGACGTGTGGCTTCTGCCCACAGGGACAAACGCACCCGCTCAAACTGGTGAGATTTAAACGATGGAGGGTTTGTTTACTCCATCATTCGCTTACATGTTGTGTTGCATCTTGAGGCCAAGAGCTGCTTTCCCATGAAACTCTCCAGTCCAAACCAGCCCCTGTACATCAATGAAGGTCCCCTCCCCCTTCAACCTGGACCAAGAAAATAGGAAATAATTCACTCTTATTATAGCCAATATATACACTTAACATAAAAACTTCCCAGAACAGAAGTAGATTCATTTTCCTGACGTCTTTGGGATTATTTCTCCATCAAAATAAAGCTAATTTACTTTAATTATTGGCAGTTTTTACTACATTTGTGAGGCGTCAGGCTGCTTCTGGCACCACATTTGAGTTTGTGTAAGATGTACCTGTTTTGGTGGAAGTGGCCTTTATACAGGGAGCCGTCGGGGAAGGTGTACGTTCCCACGCCGTGGTACATGTTGTCCTGGAAGTCTCCTTCATAAAGAGCTCCGGAGGGATGCTGCAGGGTTCCTCGGCCCTGCATCTGTAGGAGGAGAGCCAGCATCACTCACACAGGTCTCAAAAGGAAGAACGCTCACGGTGAGAGGTCCTACTTTGTCCTCGTGCCACTCTCCGATGTACACGACACCCCCGGCCGAAGTGTGTTTTCCTCGGCCGCTCCTCACCAAAACCCCAGATCCAGATCTGCTGCATTCCCCCTCTGTGAGAAATGGACCCTCTGTTATGTTCTTCTTGTATCTCTATCGCGTCTTTCTTCTTTTTGTTGTTTTGCACCTTCTTTGGGTCATTTTACCTCTCTTTTTTTGCTTATTTTTGTCTTATGTTTTCACTTTTTGCGTTATTTTTGCCTACTTTTTGTTTTCGTGGAGAAGAAACTTTAAACATTTTCCTTTTAAGAGTCCAGAATTTCAGATTATGTTTTATAAGGTATTTTAAAGTTACATTTTCAGGCTTTTATTGTCATTTTTTCATCTTCCTTTTGTGTTTGTTTTCACTTAATATGGGTTACCCATTTTTCTTCAGGGTTTAGTTGGGTTTCTTAAGCTTTTTTTGTCTGTTTACATGCAGTAACTTACCATATCTGTCTCCATTTGGGAAGATGAAGGAAACCTTTATTGGTCCATCTGAAGACAAATGAAAGTGCCTCAAACGCCTGTGCATTCCCAAAAAATAGTTTAAAGGAAAAAACTGAATATTTACCATCTTTTTTCAAGGAATCGTCTTTTTTCTTTCCTGGAGGTGAAAGTAAAACAGCAATGAGAATTCTGAAAGCAAACACGCGTCGACTTGTGGGTGTTAGAGATGAGATAGTCGCCATCACACCCCACCAGACATCCGTGACAGCTTCCCCGGGCTGGCAGATGGTTCCCGCCGCCGACAGCAGACGCTGTTTGCCGGGAGAGTCCCACGAGTGAACACACAAATTGTGGAAAATATCACAAGCGAGGTCAAAGCGGCGCTGACTCACGCGAAAACCTCTAAAAGTGACCAGTCCTGAACTCCGGCTGCTCAACTCAAACCGCCGTTGCCATGGTTACCGAGGGTCAACCGTTTAAAGTTGGCCTGGAAAACTAACTTAATTATAATTATGAGTTTTACATTGACATTCATGGACTTGAAGTAAAAATTATTACATAAGTAACTAACTGTTTCTTTTAAACTTACATGAAAAAACAAAAACAAACAAATTACACAAAAAAAAACGAACCGGAAGAGAAACTTTGAACTTTGAGGTACGGCTCATGGAAAGATGCTGGAAGCCGGTTTGCTGAGTAGTTGGCTCAGGTATGTTCGCGTTTATCAAGTTAAACTTTTTAAGCCTTCTCTTGCTTTTTTCCTTTTTAAAAGCCTCAGTATTTTAGGGGAGGCTTAGGAAGACCCACTTTACTCTTCAGGGAGCTGTTCCGAATTAGCTTACAACAGAATAAGTATGGATATATCCTGCTAGCTGTTAGCTTGTTAGCTAGTACGAGCCTTCAAAACTGGAGGCTGGCTACCCCACACAAACATATATTTTTTCTCAAATAGCTTATGGGTGCTCTTTTGTGCTTTGCTACTGATACACAACGGCAGAAGAAGAGTCTCTGGAGTTAATGGAAATCGCTCTGCTGTGCTGTTAGCCGGAATTTGAATTGCATAATTGAAGCCACCAGCGTTGTGTGTCAGCTACTATCTCATTGCTCGCTCTTGAGCTGTGCTCACCCTTCAGCTACGAGCTGTGGATGTGGATGTGAAGCATCTTTCTCTTTGCTCTTCCCAGGGTTATATCAAACTGTTTGTGTGTCATTTTCATAGGGTTTTCACTGCCATGAAGGGACACTGATTGAAGGTATGTTTGTCTCTAAGTAGTCCTTTAATTAAACCCTTATTTTGTATTGTTTGTGGTACTTTGAAGCTGTATATGTTGTGTTCTGTTTAGGCAGAGAAATGAGTGCAAGGAGGAAAGGCGGAAAGCCAAACAGAGGTGGGGGGAGGTTCAACAAACCGAGAGGAGGCGGCGGCCGTGGCGGTGGAGGAGGAGGAGGAGGAGGAGGAGGAGGAAGAGGAGGAGGAGGAGGAGGAGGTCGGAAAGCAGGAGTTGGTGGCGGCTGGGATGAAGATGGTGATTTCAGCCTGGACCTGGGACCGTCTCGTTCCAACAGGTATAAAATCAGGGCTGGTGTATAGAAGAATTATGACAGAGTGCACTTTTGCTGATGGCCGTTTTCTGTTTTCAGGGCTGGTAAAGGACGAGGGGGGGGCAGAGATGGGGCGCGAGGGAGGGGAGGTAGCGATCGAGACAGGGATAGAAGAAGGGATCCAAAAAGGAGCGCAAAGGCTCTCCCAAGGTCTCTGGCAACTAGCAAGCCTTCCTCAAAGTTGCCTGATGGAATCAGAGTGGAGACCAGCAACTTGCCCTTACAGAGAATCTTCATGACCAACGAGAACCAAGAGCAACTCAAGGAGCTACTGATGGAGCTACAAATGCAGGAATTTGACGAAGCCGAGTAAGTACAAATATCTTCTATCTGCCTTCTTTCATTTGCTGGGAAAGGGGGACCTAAATTGGATTTATTCCTCCCTGTTTGCCTCAGTGACTCCTCGGACTACTCGGGGGTCGATGAAAACGAGGAGGAATTGGATGAATTGGATCACCGACAGGAGGGCCAGTTTTGGGCCACTACTGATGAGCCGGTGGAGAGAGCAGAAACCCCGGACTATGACCCAGAGATTGATGACGAGCGTCCAACCCCTGAACCTGTCATCTCTCTGTTCGCCATAGGAAAACTCTCCCGGTATTTCTTTATTATGTTATTCATCATATTCTTTGAGATTTCGCGTGCTGTATGCGTTGGTGGGAACCCAGTGTGCTGCATGACCTCTGTTTGCTCATCTGTCTGCTGTCCAGGTATGGATTTGATCGGGAGCGCAGCAAACGGGCGCTGGAGTCCGGCGGGGGAGAATTCGGGGCCACTTTGGAGCAGCTCCTCCTCGAGGTTTTCAGCGAGCGCTACGGACAGGAAGCGGTTTCCCCTAAAAGCACCTTGGGGGTGCCGATGGATGAGTGCCTGAACCAGAGGCAGGAGGAAATTCTGGCGCTTGAGGCCATCTTTGGCGATCGCTTCAACGAGCGCATCGCCAACGCCGTCTGGACGGTGACCCTGGATCTTCCCTTTCTCTCACAAAATGCTGCCAAGAATGCCGGAGAGGCCGGAGGTCGTAGCGGGGGAGGAGCCGCAAAGAATCGGGACTTGTGCAGGTTATACCTGAAAGATCAACGCTGCCGGTTTGGAAACCGATGCAGATTCAAGCACGAACTCCCGGCTCCGTATGAGGCCGGCTCCTCACAGCCCACCGGCCCCGGCCAGCCCGGCATCTCCAGCTACTCTCCCCCCGAGTACGAACTGGAGATGCGCTTCCCGAAAGGGAACCGTTATCCTTTTCAGGCTCCGATCGTGGCCTTCAGCACCAACGACGAGTCGGTGGGGGCCGCCGGGAGGCTCATCGTCACCGAGAAGCTGTTTGGAGAAGCGCTGGCTGCAGCCAAGAGCAGCGAGCCCGTCGTCTACACCCTGATCACGCTGTGCGAGGACGAGGTCTGGATGAAGGAGCTCCTGGCTGTCGGCCATCACAAATTCAGCACGCCTCCGCCCGTACTGGCCCCTCCTCCTCCCCCGCGTCCGGTAACTCCGAAGAGTCGGAGCGGGAGGAGCAGCGTCCAGGCAGAGAGCAGGAGCAACGGCTCCAGCAGCAGGAAGGCCGCCGGCAGCCACAGAGCTGTAGACCGTAAGTTCAGGCTTTATTCTGTGTCCCCACTGAGCAAAACCAAGTTTATGCAAAATTATGCAAAACCAAGTTTTTAATCATTTGATTATGTACATTTGGGACTTTGGAGGGCCTATCAGCAGGCAAAGTGTGAAACAAATGACTCGGTCATGTTTTTGTGGGCTGCCTCAGTCTCAATCCAGGAGATAAATCAGGAGGTTTCAGGAGTGGGTAGTTTCTGACGTCATTAGCTCTAGCTCATTATAATATTCCAGCCTTTCACCTGCATGTTGCCCCCACCCTCAGCTTACTCCCCTATCTGTGGCAGACGTCGTGGTAGCGTGAGCGTTAGCATGGTAGTGTTAGCATGGTAGCGTTAGCATGGTAGCGTTAGCGTGCTGACGTGGGCACACATCCCGGAAGAAGTGGGTGGATTGCCTGTGTCTCATTTGCATTTAAAGAGACAGGCGCTCCAAAGCGAGCGCTCTGAACGGGGCTGTTTTGGCAGGGGGACTGAACTGCTATTGGGCTTCATCCTTATGGTATTTGGACCAAAGCTTGTGACAGAAATTACATTAGGACGCCAGCGAACTAGTTTAACTTGTTGAAATGGGGTATGATATGTCTCCTTTAAGTGAAACAGACGTTGGAGCCAGAGGAGCTGGAGGAGAGGGACGACGAACCAGAAGTCCAGGCGGTTCCTGTGGAGACCGAGAGCTACGTCAATCTGAGGAAGAAAGCGGTGAATAAGCACAACCACAAGATGGACAATGTCCTGCAGGAGAACGGCAAACTGTGCCGCGAGTTCAAGAGAAAACAGGTAAAACCGGCAAAAACGAGCCTCCTAACACACAGCCAGTCCAGATAAATGAAGTTCTGCTCCTCCATTCTCCTGTTCCCGTAGTCCTCAAGGCGCTTCAGATCCATGCTGGAGCAGAGGAGGAACCTGCCCGCATGGCAAGAAAGAAACAACATCCTAGATGTGCTGGACCGCTGCCAGGTGCTGGTGGTCAGTGGGATGACCGGGTAGGTGATGCAAACACTCCTTTTTCCAGATGTCTTCTCCAGAAAGGAAAAAAACGATATGCAGAGGTTCATGTTTGAAACTCTCTGGGAATATGTCAGTCTGTGTTTTCTTTGGCTTTTTTAAATTAGACAAAACACTGTGACACTAGTCAAACATATTGGCATTGTCCAAAAGGAAAACTTTAAAAGAAAGTTTTTCCACCACAAAGATTAAAGGAAGTTTCAAACCATAAATGAACAGTGTGAGGCTTTAGCAGATCCATGCAAACACTCCTTTTTCCAGATGTTTTCTCCAGTAGGAGCACACTATACACTATGCTGACATATGCCGAGGTTTATGATCGTAACTCTCTGGGAATCTGTCAGTCTTCTTTAGATTTGTTAAAATTAGTTTTTAATGTTAATTTGATTCTCTGTAATCTGTTGATTGCGAAAAAATAAATGAAAATAAATATTGTCATTGTCCAAAAGGAAAACTTTAAAAGAAAGCTTCTCCAACACAAAGATTAAAGGAAGTTTCAAACATTTAAGCAGATCTGTGCTTTGCTTGTTTTCTTGCAGGTGTGGGAAAACCACCCAGATTCCGCAGTTCATTCTGGACGCGTCTCTCGGCGGGCCGGCAACACAGGTGGCCAACATCGTCTGCACGCAGCCTCGCCGCATCTCCGCCATCTCTGTGGCTCAGAGGGTGGCGCAGGAGCGCGCCGAGTGCCTGGGAAACTCTGTGGGCTACCAGATCCGCCTGGAGACCGTCAGGGTACGCAGACTGGCTTTTTAAGCTTTTTAAAATAAAAGGTCCACATGTTGAAGTATTCTTCTGCCACCTGTCAAATTAGCATTTGATAATCACTGAATGATGGATTACTCACTAAATTAGCCTGCTTATATCATTTAGCTTTGGAGCTAATGTTCATAAAGAGGCCAATTTAGATTTTTTTCTAAAGTTGTACTAAAAGGTCGGTGGTTCCTTCTCTTATTGGGTCCCAGAAAGTCCTGTTGGAGTGTTTAAGATAAGCCGATCCTGTCATTTTACTCTTCAGCCGGGACGACGTTAAAAAAACCTCTGGCACGATGCGTTTGATGGATGTCCGGCTCTAACGGACTCTCTCTCCTCAGACGGCGGCCACCAGGCTGCTGTACTGCACCACCGGCGTGCTGCTCAGGCGGCTGGAGGGCGAGGCCGACCTCAGGGGCATCACGCACGTGATAGTGGACGAGGTGCACGAGCGGACGGAGGAGAGGTGAGCAGGCTGGTCCCGATCCGATATCTGGATTGGATCGGCTAATGATATTCTCAAAAAAATACGTATCGGCCGGCAGGAGAAAATGCAGATGCAGACTCCCGATCCAGTTTTTTTTAAAAAGTCAGATCCTACACCAGCATTAGCATTAGCATCTCCTAACCCACAGGTCTGTGTCCTACCATTAAGTTGTTATCAGATTAAACCCCTGTTCAACATGAGTCTGACAACTAAGTAAGTAGATAAATAGCTTTAAACTTTAATACATGCTCTGATAGGCCGGGATCGGATCGGAAGTGAAAAAAGCTGGATCAGGACATCCCTAGAGGGGAGACTCTTCAGTCTGCACTTTGACCTTTGGCCTCCTCTCTTTCCTCTGCCAGCGACTTCCTGCTGTTGGTGCTGAAAGACTTGATCGTTCAACGGCCCGACCTGAAGATCATCCTGATGAGCGCCACTCTGAACGCCAACCTCTTCTCCGAGTATTTCTACAACTGTCCCACCATCCACATCCCAGGTCTGAGCTGTGACTAACACTGCTCACCCCTCTCCTCCCTCCTCCCTCCTAACGGCTTTCTCTCCGCAGGACGCACTTTCCCCGTCGACCAGTTTTTCCTTGAAGACGCGATCGCTAAAACCAAGTAAGAGCATCCAGATAAATGTGTTGGATCGTTTGGCTGTGATCTGATGTGACGAGCGGACTGTCTGTGCTCAGATACGTCATCGAGGACGGCAGCCCCTTCGCAAGATCAGGGAAGCAGAAGCAGACTTCCGGCGGTGGAGGGAGGGGACCCAGAGGAGGCCACAGGGACGCGGTGGACGACCTGGGCGACGACGTTTGGAACTTCATGTCTTTCCGTAAGGCGGACTTTGTGAAAGACTCCATCCCCGACCAGCAGCTGGGCCTGGAGGAGCTCGCCATTCGATACAAAGGTGCGTGAACCAGCCCGGGCTGTCACCCGCCCCCTGTTAGCTGACAGAAATCCATTCTAACATCCTGCTTTGGCCTTCTAGACACCAAGAAGTCTGTGCTTAAGACCCTTGCTGCAATGGATCTGGACAAGATCAATATGGACCTGGTTGAAAGTCTGCTGGAGTGGATAGTGGATGGAAAGCACAACTACCCCCCTGGTAAGGCTCAGCCAGTGGGATTCAGGGGGATTTACACCTCAGGAGTGTCACAGAGGCAGAAAATGCTCCATTTGATACCTTCAGTGTTTCTGTAGAGCTGATGGTGGAGTTAAACCGGTTGAATAAAGCCACTCTATCTGAGATCATCCTTAACCTTTCAGCTCTGACACCAGGCAGAGATTCTGAGTTGTTAAGTCATTGTCGATCTGCCCAACTCGCGCTGACATTTAGACTCTGTGGAAGTGAGATTTAGCCCCTGGATAAATGTGTGTGGGGTGTGTGTGCCTGCAGGAGCGGTGCTGGTGTTCCTGCCGGGCCTGGCTGAGATCAAGATGCTCTACGAGCAGCTGCAGTCCAACCGGATGTTCAACAACCGGGGCGCGTCCAGGTCTGTGAGCTAGAGTTAGTTAGTTTCCCTGTGAGTAAAAGGCCCCCTTCACACAGACCTGTGCCCCCAGGTGTGTGGTGTACCCGCTGCACTCCACCCTGTCCAACGAGGACCAGCAGGCCGTCTTCAGCCGCCCCCCCGAGGGCGTCACCAAGATCATCATCTCCACCAACATCGCCGAGACCTCCGTGACCATCGACGACGTGGTGTACGTCGTAGACTCCGGAAAGATGAAGGAGAAGAGGTGGCCGCTTCTTTCTACAGTCGGAGTGGGATGAGCTGGTGGAGCGGAGCCTTTTTTTCTGAGTCTCTGCCGGTCCTGTTCGCAGGTACGACGCCTCCAAGAGCATGGAGAGCCTGGAGGACTCGTGGGTTTCTCGGGCCAACGCGGTGCAGAGGAGGGGCCGGGCGGGCCGCGTGGCCTCGGGCGTCTGCTTCCACCTCTTCACCAGCCACTGCTTCCACCACCAGCTGGCCGAGCAGCAGCTGCCCGAGATCCAGAGGGTCCCGCTGGAGCAGCTCTGCCTGCGGTAGGTCCGCCCGACAAAGCTGTCAGGGTTATGCCCCTAAACACTTCTCAATTCGCTGCTGTAAGAGGACAAAAATAGACAGTGAATACTTGCAAGGAGACCTTACAATCTCCAACCTACTCTGAGGTCTCGTGCTGCTCCCCTTTCCATTTATTTGGTTCCACCCTATCACAGCTTTGTTACATCATCTCCTCCACAGACAGAATAAGCACACATGTTTAATTGGACACTGGTCTTAATCACAGGATGCACTGATTGAACAGGAAGACAGCTGCTGTAACAGGAGGAATGAAGTCCAGTTGTTCCTCTGTTTCAGCTGCCAACAAGGAGTGTTATCTTAAGGGTCACTACTGTGGTCAGCAGACACCATTATATGCAAAACAGCTTGTGCATATGACATACCCTTCTTGCTAACACACAAGCACAGTTAACCCATTACATACACACTCACATATATAATTCAGAGAATGCATGATAACTTATGTACCATTATTCTAACATTTCCCTCCTGTTTATCATGTATTCCATATGCAGTCTCACATCACTCAACCAGTCATATCAACCGACTTTTAGCTAGGAGGTCATATCAGCCATAGCAATACATTTTCACTAGTGGTAGTGTATTTCATATTCTCCTGGGTCAGGAAAAAGGTCTGCAAGGTGAGGTTTATCATCGTCACTGCCACCATCATCGTCGTCCACGCCGTTTCCCATCAGTGGATACATTTCAGCTGGCGGGGCAGATGGTTGAGGGCTCAATGCAGTGATGATCAACCTGTTAATGAGTGCTTGCAATTAGAGAATAATAATTCAGAGAATACCTGATAACTTATGTACCATTATTCTGTTTTTTTTTTTTCAAATTATTTTTATTGAAACAAATGATAAGATAATACCAATAAGGAATACAGTTCACTTTTTTCCCCCTTTTAAGATAAACATATACTGGTGCAGGTGTAACTTCTAATATATAGATACAAGTATAAATGTTGAAGTAGTCACACCTACTACATATACAAAAAACAAAATAAGAACAATAAAAGAAGAGAACAACCCCCCCCATTCCCACCCTGTCTCAGCCCAACACATTCAGCAGAAAAATAAGATAAATAACAATAATATGTACCGTTATTCTAACAAAAGCCCTGCGCTTTCCCCTCTCCGGCAGCATTAAGATCCTGGACGTATTCGCTGAGCAGCCTCTGGAGGGCGTCTTCTCCCGGCTGGTGGAGCCCCCGGCGGCGGGCAGCGTGGACGCCGCCCAGCAGCGGCTCCAGGACCTGGGCGCGCTGACGGCGGACGAGAAGCTGACCCCGCTGGGCTACCACCTGGCCTGCCTGCCCGTGGACGTGCGCATCGGGAAGCTCATGCTGTTCGGCGCCATCTTCCGCTGCCTGGACCCGGCGCTCACCATCGCCGCCAGCCTGGCCTTCAAATCGCCATTCGTAAGAAAACTTACCCTCCAAATTCAGCGAGTCTGATATGAAACAGAAACCGGAGCCACCTGAGAATCAGAATCAGAATCAGAATCAGAATAAGGTTTATTGCCAAGTAGGTTTTTAGACTTGCAAGGAATTTGCCTTGGTGTTTGGTGCACAACACAACACTTCTATGAGAAGCAAGAAATCAAATGTAGAAATAAAAATATAGGACAGAAATGATAAAACTGAAAAATACAATCTTTAAAGATATAGATCCGAATGTACAAATGAACAATCTTTAAAAAATATACCTGTTGGACAGAAGTGACTCCCCGCCTTTGCTCTGTCTCCAGGTGTCTCCGTGGGATAAGCGAGAGGAAGCCAACGAGAAGAAAAATGCCTTTGCGGTTGCCAACAGCGACCATCTGGCCCTCCTGCAGGCCTACAAGGCACGGACCGCCCCCCCCGCTCCACCTGTGCTCAGTGGGGAGGGATTTTCTACAACGGCTGATTTCTTTCTTGCAGGGATGGTGCCAGGCGGCGAAGAGTGGCCACCAGTCCAGCTCCTCCTACTGCCGGCAGAACTTCCTGTCATGGCGGGGCTTACAGGTCCGACTCGGCGCTTTGTTTGGACCAATGAGAGCCGGTTTTCGTCCTGACCTGTGGCTTTCCTGTGCAGGAGATCGCCAGCCTGAAGAGGCAGTTCGCTGAGCTGCTTTCGGACATCGGCTTCATCCGGGAGGGGCTGCGGGCGCGGACCATCGAGCGCATGTCCTCAAAGGGCACGGACGGTGTTCTGGAGGCCACCGGCCCCGAGGTGGGGCGCACTCATTGGCTGTAAAGCTTAAGAACCAGCATGACACGTTTACACTGAGACGCTTTGGTCCGCAGGCAAACCTCAACGCGGAGAACATCCGGCTGATGTCGGCCATGCTGTGCGCGGCCCTCTACCCCAACGTGGTGCAGGTCTGCTCTCCGCAGGGCAACTACAAGATGACCAGCAAAGGGACCATGAAGATGCAGCCCAAAGCCAACGAGCTCCGCTTCCTGACCAAGAGCGACGGCTGCGTCCACGTGCACCCCTCCTCCGTCAACTACACGGTGAGGCCTCGCCCTCCTTGTCCTTTTCTGTTTGTTGGTTTTTGATTTTGAGACGAACAAACAATCGATCAACATGAGGCCAGATACTGAAAATAGCCAGGAAAAAGTAAAAGCATCTTCAGTCCTGAGGTCGCAAAGAACAAAACAAAACATAAAAGTGATCTGATGCTCCAATCCGAGGTTATCTGAAGTCTGGTTTTAGGATGGAGACGAGTGGAATCCACTTTTGCCACAAAAAAAGTATCTTTCTGTGTTGTAAGATTGAAAGATTTTTCCCTTAAAAAAATGCTAAACACCATATCAGTCCATTCATCCACGCTCGGCTCCTCCCTCTTCAACCAATTCTTCATTATTGATTTATTTTCCGCCGCCGATAATATTGTCAGAAAATATTTATCTTTGTTCTTCCACTCCAGAGTCTGGATCCACCAAATATAACGAATAGAGACAAAGTTTTTTTTGTTTAAAACACAATCTGTACGATTTGATGGGGCCACTAGAGGGCAGCTCCAAAAAAGTTCCCCTTTGCTTCCACAACCTCTTCAAACATCTGTCTGAATATGATCTCTTTTGGTCTGGAGAGCAGAATTAGCCAATGAGATCTGTCCATGAGCTGGTTTTCTGCAGAATGGAGAGTCGGACCCAGCCTGACGAGCTCTTTCCCCCCCCAGGTGCGCCACTACGACAGCCCCTACCTGGTTTACCACGAGAAGGTGAAGACCAGCCGCATCTTCATCAGGGACTGCAGCATGGTGTCCGTGTACCAGCTGGTGCTGTTCGGGGGGGGGGCAGGTCAACGTGGAGCTGCTCAAGGGCCAGTTCGTCATCTCCCTGGACGACGGCTGGATCCGATTCGCCGCCGCCTCTCACCAGGTGAGCTCAGCGGCGAAAACACGCCGGTCAGCTTGCGGCTTTGTTTTTGTTTTTTTAAAGAAATATTTTTATTGAATTTTATAACAAAAGAAAGAGCAAGTGACCGTGATACACTTAACACAGATTCTTATTAAATAACTTGGTCCCCAAAGCAAACAAACACAAATAAACAATAATGAACAATGAGAAAAAGAAAAACAAACAAAAAAACTAACAAAACTAAAAAACTAAAAAAAAAAAAACAGCAATCTCTGCACAGATCTCTTATTGTCCTTTGTAACGTTTCAGAAACTCGGTCAACGGTGACCATGTCTTTTCAAATTTCTCTCCTTTTCCTCTGACAATATAAGTGAGTCGCTCCATAGCCATACAGGATGATATCTCCTTCACCCACATGTGCTTTGATGGTATATCTATTTTTTTCCAGTATAGAGATATTAATCTCCTAGCCTGCAGGAGTCCAAAGTCAATCAATTTTAGCTGTCTGGAATTAAAAGCACAGTTCTCTGAATAAATACCCAAAACACACAATTTAGCCTCAGCAGGTACATTCACTCCAACAATCTCTGACAAAGTTTTCGTAACCAAGTTCCAATATTGTTGTAACTTTGGACACTCCCATTCACAGTGAAAAAGAGTACCCCTTCCAACCAAACATTTACAGCAGATATCTGGGATGTTAGGTGTCCAGTGGTTCAGTTTGACTGGAGTTATGCAAGTTCTCATCAACCACTTGTACGCTCACGGCTTTGTTAACGTGTGTGTGTGTGTGTGTGTGTGTGTGCGTTTTCCCAGGTGGCTGAGCTGGTGAAGGAGCTCCGCTGGGAGCTGGACCAGCTCCTGGAGGATAAAATCAGGAGCCCCAGCATGGACCTGTGCAGCTGCCCGCGCGGCTCCCGCATCATCCGGATGATCGTCCACCTCATAACCACCCAGTAACCCCGCCCCCTAAAGGGCTCAAACACGCGTTTCCGCTCCACTGCCACCAGTGGAAACCCATTAAACGAGTCCACGCCCTGAAGGACTGTCACACAAACCCACTTGTCTCTGCATGAGTGGCTCCACTTTGCTCCATGCAGGTGATCAAATCAGCTTTCAGAAAGCAGCAACACAACAGCTTTGGTTTTAAAGGCAGCCTCTCACTACGTGCTGTAAACGGCATGCAATTGATGTCAGATATCCTTTTTGAGCACTTGTATTTTGGTTGTGTGTCTCGCTCACAACTGAGAGCTTTCTTTGGGTCCATATTGGATTTCTTAAACTCGAGCGGTGGTGTGTTGATGGGCGTTTACGTGTAAAGCATGACTGAGCGATCCCAGAGCTTCTGCATGATATTCAGTTGGTTTACGTTAGCTGAATGTATTTAAAAGTGATGTCAGAGGTGAACTTTCACCATTTGTGAATGAAAGGGCTTTTGAAATCGGTAGCATTTTAGTGGAAGCTGCCAAATAACTTTTGCTTGAGCTGTTGTCTGAACAACTTCCGAATTCCTCTGCACTAAGATAAAGATTAAAGTGGTGATGGCAGTCGGCTGGCTTTAAGTCCTTCTTTTTTAGCTCAAAACAGATCTGTCGTGATCAGTTTGTTGCATTGGATTCCTGCTTTAATGAAATATGATATGAAATCAACTAAATTAGAATTAAAGATTTAAGCTTTATTAAAGTCGTCACAGGAAAACGCTGTTTTTAATATTCTGTGACTATTTTTGTTTAACTGAAAGCGATATGATGTAATACTTTTTTCTTTTCATAATGAATCACTTTTTTTCTATCTGACTGCACATTTTTAGAGGAAATAAAACATTAAATGGTAAATATGTGAACAGAAGCAGGATCTTATGTGGATAAAAAAGCTGGATGCTGATGTATATTCAGGCCAGAATTGGCGGGTGCTTTCATTTCCGAGGTTAGCGGCTGGAAAATGTCCAGAAAGACCGATCTCATTCAAGCTGAGGAATGTCTGATGGATTCAACACTTTGCAGCGGAGGCCGCCTTCATTTAGACGTTTCTGCTCTGTCTCTAAGACAACAGAACATAAACAAACAGGCCTTTTCCCTCTGGACTCTGAATGAAAAACCAGTGCCAAAGCCCTGAGCTGGTAAGATCATCTCACATTTTCTTTCCCAAATCTCCTTGAAACTATATGATCTTCTGACAGGAGGGGGGAGGTGATGATTACATAATGTCTTTATATGTTTAATTTCTAACAGATGTGCAAATTGGATCAAATCTGACTTTTTTCACGATGGTATTTAGAAGTAATTCAGCTAATTTAAGTCGGTCAAACATATATTAGGCAAAGTAGCTTTGCATTCTTTCCTTGCAGCCCAACAAATCCAGAAAATCAAAGTCACACAAGTCTGCCAAGAAGTCTCCGAGTCCAGAAACCCCCAAAAGGAAGCCCTCCGGTGCCAGATGTGGACATCCTGCCATGCAGAACCTCTACTACATTTCCCACAATGCAGCGCTGCTCACTGTTTGGAGTTCAGAGGCTTCTGGCGGCCCAAAACGACCAAAGAAGAAAGGAGGAGCGAAAAAGAAGTAATATATTTATGTAACTGAATATTTCTGAGACATTGGCACCACCTGGTGGGTACAGTGTGTAAGACAGACTAAATTTGACTTTAGTTGTTTCAAATCTAAAATGGTGCCAGCCAAATACTTCACTTTCCATTCTCTGCAGCTTTATTGAGAGATGAAGGATTCAGAATAGCGTCTGTGATTATATGACAAATATTTGGCAGTTTTTATTGACAATAAGGAGGGATGTTGTACATTTTACACAACACTGCATTATAGAAAAGGCCAGCAGCTGGACTTAAATTGATCCCACTAGCTAGTTCTACTCCTCTTTAAGTCCAGTTTTAAAACAGGCTATTATGTAAACCTGCATTTAAATGTCAGAGAAGTAAAAACACTGTTCCAGGCACTGCTTTAAATCCCTAAATCAATCCTTTTATCAAAAGCACGCACTCAACCCGAAGATAACCCTGTAAAATAAATAGTTTCGTCAGCACAGGAAGTCTCCACCTCCTAGGAACATGGTCCCTCTTTTCTCACTCTGGTGGTTTCTTCTTGGCCTCCACGTCCTTCTTAAAGGCCTCGATCTTCTTGGCTATGTTGGGAACCTAGGCAGGACACATATTGTTAGTCAGGTCATTTTTCTTAGTATGATGTGAGTTTGGCCCTAATTACTTTTATCCAAGGAAAGGCATTGAGAACTTGGGGTTTATTGTTGGCTACTGCATCTGATCTGAAATGGTCTTAACTCTCAATTATTTGTCATGAAATTGACTGTAACATTCAAATAGATGCTAATTACTGTGTAATTAAGATCAGGTATTTGAACAGCTTTCTGTGTGCTTAGCTTAGAATTGAAAGGAAAAAACAGATTCCTAAATCTATTTTTAAAGTCGTTTTACCAAGTTGAAACAACAGTATCAGGTATGTATGAAGAATTCACGGACTAACTGTAAACTTTCCACACAACTTTGCCTGTTATTTTCAGTTCCTGCACCCAAAAGAGGCCTAGCTAAAATATGACAAGCTAAAAACTTACTTCATAGTTCTGTGCGAGGTACATTCCCACAACATTTCCCAAGGTGAAGCCAGCCTGAAGTGAACAAATGAGAAAAAGATTTAATATAAAGTGATCTTTCCTTTTTCTGTTAAATCTTCTAAGGAGAAAGAACAGCAGTCACTCACAAACAAGCCCGTATGGATGCAGTTTTAAACAAGCTAATATTCGTCAGCATCCTGATAAACCCCCCAATAATATCGATAATAGGAATAATTAAACTTACTAGAAACTGAAGCATTGTTGAATAAGTATCTCAATAAGGCTGTTCACACTTCCAAGTAACTTAGTAACACAAAAACGGATAGTTACTTCGAAGTTTGTTCCGGAATGTCAACGGAATCATTCGACTGAAAGCTAGCGTCTCACAACAATAGTTTGCGCATGCGCGCCCTTGCTTACTCTCGCGTTACTTCAGGACTCAACGCTATTGTAGTCTCTTACACAACTTTAGGTGCTGTTTCCCCCCTCTTTAGAACTACAACTCCCACACCCTGTGAAACATCTCTCGGACAGCCAGTGGGTGTCGTTGCAATGGTGGTTACGGAGGGACATTGAATGACTTTGGCTCCATCACGAGACAGACCCACTTTATCAGTCCAGTTTGATACATAAACTGCGAGCATGGAGGCTCTAATCCCCGTCATAAACAAGCTCCAAGATGTGTTCAACACCGTGGGCGCGGATATCATCCAGCTTCCGCAGATTGCTGTTGTAGGGACGCAGGTAAAATATCTTGCATTGCTTTTTGTACAAGCGGCTGCCATGCTAGCAGCCACATAACCTTGCTTTAATTATGAACTAAAAATTAGCAGTCTTTGCTACAATATTAATGATTTAGATGGTAAATAGAAGGAGGGCTTCACAGAGGCTGCGTGAGCCCCACTCCTCATTAAGACTGACACCAGTCTCTGTGACACAGTTTGCTTTGGTAAAGGCAGAGGAATCTATTTTTATCACCTAATTTAAAGGCCTAAATGATTCTCACACCAGTCCCTGTTAGCTTAAACCAGGTAAGCCCTTTAGCTTGGTGTTTTTTTCAGCCTCCATGTTGCCCAGCTCCAGCACACCTGTTTCCGTTTCCTCATCAGCCCTCTGCACAGCTGCTCCAATCATTTCAATCAGGAGGAGCAGGGCTCACCTCCTTTCTCTGGTGTGTGTGTGTGTGTGTCCAGAGTAGCGGAAAGAGCTCGGTGCTGGAGAGCCTGGTGGGCCGGGACCTGCTCCCCCGTGGGACCGGCGTGGTGACCAGGCGCCCCCTCATCCTCCAGCTGGTCAACGTGGAACCGGGGGACTCCAGGAAGAACGAGGATGGCGGTAGGTCCGGGCCTTTGGGCCTTCGTGTGGCCACATGTTTTCTTTGTGTCTTACAGTGCTTTCTCTCTGAACACCCGCAGACCACCGTGCCTCAGACAGACTCCTGTTACAGGTGTCTTCACGTTTAATCACCTGAATTAGCCTCCCCTAGCTGGGCCTCTTCCTCCATTTCTTCCTCCCTCCCTCCCCCCTGAAGCCTTACCCAGCTTTTACTCGTTAGCTGTGTTTGCGTGGCCTCCTGCACGGGGTTTAGCTTCTGTCCAGCCGATGTGTTTTTTCCCCTGTTCTCAGAGTCGGAGGGGGGAACTCTAACTTTACTGGTTCTTTTTTTTGTGTTGGCTCATAGGCAGAGAGGGAGAGGAGTGGGGGAAGTTTCTACACACCAAAAACAAGGTGGGACTGTGTGAGACGGAGCCGGGCCTCTTTTGTCTCTGCCTCTGGCCCTCACGAGGCTTTGCTCTGTGCTCCTCCTGCAGATCTACTGGGATTTTGACGAGATAAGGCAGGAGATTGAGAGCGAGACGGAGCGCGTGTCGGGGACTAATAAGGTGAGACGCTGTTGGGGGTCAGAGTGTGTTTTTAAGGTCTGTTATGGGCCGCAAAGTGATGGCTGCTCCTCTGCAGGGGATCAGCGACGAGCCCATTCACCTGAAGATCTTCTCTCCAAATGTTGTCAACCTGACGCTGGTGGATCTGCCAGGAATCACCAAGGTAACACCTTTCTCTAGGAGGCTTTGATCGTAAGGAACCCCGGGGGAAGTTTATACCTCCTGGCTTCATTAAAGAACCCTTTAGTGTTCAGAAACCTGTTTAGGGCCCATTAGCTCTTCGCCTAGCTTAAAATCCACCTGTTCCAGCCTCATTAGTTGGCAGATTTTTTTATTTATCTGCTCTTTTATTTGCCGGGCTCCCTCCAGGTGCCTGTGGGGGATCAGCCTAAGGACATAGAGGTTCAGATCCGAGATCTAATCCTGAAGCACATCTCCAACCCCAACTGCATCATCCTGGCCGTCACGGCCGCCAACACGGACATGGCCACCTCCGAGGCTCTCAAAGTGGCCCGGGAGGTGGACCCCGACGGTAGGGGGAGCCGGGGTCCGACCATCTGGCTCTGACCAGCTGGGGGTAGTAACTCACTGATGTTGCCATGGCGCCGAAAAAGGCTGCCACGGTGTTTTGGTGCGCTTTGTTTTGTCTTTTTACCCTGTTTTTCAACATTTTCTGGTTTGTCGTTGGACATTCAATATTTTATTTTATTAATTATTAATTATTATTATTTTATTTTATTCTATATTTTTATATTTTTATTTCTACATTATATGTTGTTTCTTGTTTCTCATGGAAGTGTTGCGCACATAACACCAAATCAAATTCCTTGTAGGTGAAAAACCTACTTGGCAATAAACCTAATTCTGATTCTGATGTGGACCCTCAGGCCGGAGGACGCTGGCCGTGGTGACCAAGCTGGACCTGATGGACGCCGGGACCGACGCCATGGACGTGCTGATGGGCCGAGTCATCCCCGTCAAGCTGGGCCTCATCGGGGTGGTCAACAGGTCTGGGAAACGCCTCTCGTCTCCGGCACGCCGATAACGAGGAGAACGTTCCCTGGAAATGTCAGCTTTCTTTGCTTTGTGACCCTCCAGGAGCCAGCTGGACATCAACAACAGAAAGTCGGTGGCCGACGCCATCCGGGACGAGCACGCCTTCCTCCAGAAGAAGTATCCGTCCCTCGCCAACAGAAATGGAACCAAATACCTGGCCAGAACCCTCAACAGGTACGGTGTCACGGGCTACTTATTTTGGCTGTTTGGTCATAAAGATAGAGGTGATTTTAGACCTCAGCTTGGGACACGTTGCAAAAATAATAACTCAACATTTATTTTTCTGCAATGTGACAATTTACTGATGAATAATTCCCTTTTTTCCAGAGGTAAAGGTCAGTTTAATATAAATAGCTCCTAAGGTCTGTGAGGATAAAGTCAGAAATCTTAAAGTTTTGTTCAGTGAAAGTAAAAACAATGACGTGTCCATGAGTGAGTTTCTGCAGCCAGAAATTACAAACTGTTACAGAACTGTTACTGACCAGCAGAATTACTGAAAATGACAGGAATTCTGTGAAATTAAATCTTAAGATTGAGCAGAGCAAAAAGGATCTGGACTCAGAAAGGAGCCTCAGAGCTCACGGTTTAATTCTGGAGGTTTGGGAGCTAAAAGTGTCCATTTTTAAGAGCAGAGCATAATTAAAAGCATCCAGAATTTAACACAGGGGTGTCAGAATCCAGTCCTCTTTGGGCCGCTGTCCTGCAGGTTTTAGGCATTTTCCTGCTTCTGCACACCTGATTCTTATTAAATTGGATCTCCTCCTGACATTGTTGGGCTTTGCACCTGTCTAACGGCCCTTTGATGTGAATCAGGTGTGTTAAAAAAGGGTTACCTCTAAAAACCTGCAGGACAGCGGCCCTCCAGGACTGGAGTTTGACACCCCTGTTTTAACAGGTCTGCTGTTATTTAGTGCCACCGGGTAGTTTTCAGAGTTTTGGCGTCCTGCTGGATGTGAGCGTGCTTTGCCTCCCTGCTCTCAGGTTACTGATGCACCACATCCGGGACTGCCTCCCGGAGCTGAAGACGCGGATCAACGTGCTGGCGGCCCAGTACCAGTCGCTGCTCAGCAGCTACGGGGAGCCGGTGGAGGACCAGAGCGCCACGCTGCTGCAGCTCATCACCAAGTTCGCCACCGAGTACTGCAACACCATCGAGGGCACGGCCAAATACATCGAGACCGCCGAGCTGTGAGTGGGCCGGCCACCGGGGGGCGCTGTGGCTCCAGCTGAGTGCAGAATCAGAATCAGAATAAGGTTTATTGCCAAGAAGGTTTTTAGACTTGCAAGGAATTTGCCTTGGTGTTTGGTACACAACACTTCTATGAGAAGCAACAAATGAAATGTAGAAATAAAAATATAGGACAGAAATGATAAAACTGAAAAATACAATCTTTTAAAATGCAGATCCGAATGTACAAATGAACAATTGAAATGTGCAAATGTGCAGAGGCCCCACTAACCCCTCCCACCCCCTTTCTACTGGTTTCCAGGTGCGGTGGAGCCAGAATCTGCTACATTTTCCACGAGACGTTTGGCCGAACGCTGGAGTCCGTGGATCCTCTGGGGGGGCTGAGCACCATCGACATCCTGACCGCCATCAGGAACGCCACGGTGAGCGCCGGATCATCCTCTGTCCCCACGCGCTGGGGGGGAGGAGGGGTTAGAGGCTAACCCCGCCCCCTTCCCCCCCCTCCGGCTCCAGGGCCCGCGGCCCTCCCTGTTCGTGCCGGAGATCTCCTTCGAGCTGCTGGTGAAGAAGCAGGTGAAGCGTCTGGAGGAGCCCAGCCTGCGCTGCGTGGAGCTGGTCCACGAGGAAATGCAGAGGATCATCCAGCACTGCAGCAACTACAGCACACAGGTACTTTTATTTATCTATTCATTTGAATAGGGACAAAGCACATTAATGGACATCAGTATAAAAACAAATGTAAATATGCCGGATTATAGCTACAAAGCTAGTTTTCATCCGTAGCCCCTAGGCAGGCAAATACATAAGAAAGAACATATAATATACAATATAAGCATCACAAGGAAATGTTGAGAGTTTAGTGGTTTAGCACATTCACCTTCTTCTGTCTTCCAGGAGCTGCAGAGATTCCCGAAGCTGCACGAGGCCATCGTGGAGGTGGTCACCTCCCTGCTGAGGAAGAGGCTCCCCATCACCAACGACATGGTACGCTCCGACCGGCGCCCGCCTCCCGTTAGGCCCCGCCCCTTTAGGGCCCCGGCTCCCTTTCGCTCCCCCCTCCCCGTAGGTCCCGCCTCCCTTTAGGAACCTGCTTCCCCATAGGCCCCGCCTTCCTTTAGGAATCCGCTTCCCTTTAGGCACAGCCCCCATAAGGCGGCCCTGCCTCCCTTTAGGCCACGCCTCCATTTAGGCACCTGCTTCCCTGTAGGTCCCGCCTTCCTTCAGGAACCTGCTTCCCCATAGGCCCTGCCTTCCTTAGGCCACGCCCCATTTGGCCCCGCCTCTTTCTGAAGCCGTCTGCCTCTCCGGCTGCAGGTGCATAACCTGGTTGCCATCGAGCTGGCCTACATCAACACCAAGCACCCGGACTTTGCGGACGCCTGCGGGGTGATGAACAACAACATCGAGGTGTGTGCCGGCCCACTGGAGCTCTTATCCCAGTTTAGCTACAGGGTTGTCTGTGAAATCCGTGACATTTTTGACAACAGGAGCAAAGGAGAAACCGGATGAGGGAGCTGCCTGCCGCCGTGCCCAGGGACAAGGTAACGTGAGTCCATGTGTGTGCATGTTTGGTCCGGTGTGAGTCTGCCCCCTTTAGCCCAGCGGGACCAGAACCGTCCAGGAACTCTGTCCTGAACCAGAGAGTCTCTTCTACTTCCAGCTCCCTCTCCACACTTCTTCTCAGTGGCCTTTTTTCTCTTCCCACTCCTGCGCTCATATTTCTGCTAGTCTGTTGGCAAAGGCCCGGCGGGCCTATCTGTGGCTTCTGGCGAGCCCTCTGCGTCTGGAGCAGACATGGACGGTGCCAAGGTGGGCACGCTATGCTGCTGATGCCTGAGGCCTGCCGGGCTGAGGCCTGGATGGATGGATGGGTGGATGGATGGATGAGTGGGTGGTTGGATGGATGGGTAGATGGATGGCTAGGTGGGCGGGTGGGTGGATGGATGGGTAGATGGATGAGTAGTTGGATGGATGGATGGATGGATGAGTAGTTGGATGGATGGATAGATAGGTGGGAGGATGGATGGATGGATGGGTGGGTGGGTTGATAGGTGGGTAGATGGATGGATGGATGGATAGATAGGTGAGTAGTTGGATGGATGGATGGATACGTGGGTAGTACGATGGATGGATGAATGAATGGATGGATGGATGGGTTATTGGATGAATAGGTGGGTGAGTGGGTGGTTAGTTGAATGGATGGATGGATAGCTGGATGGATGGGTAGATTGGTGGGTAGATGGATGGGTAGTTGGATGGATGGGTGAGTGAGTGGATGGGTGGGTTGATGGGTGGATGAATGGGTGTGCATGAGCAGCCTGCATGCTCTGTGATGTCTGCTGGTGCTTCTGTTTGCTCCCCTCAGCCTGAGGCCTCTTCTGCTGACCGCTGTGGCTCCTGAAGCCTGTGTGACCCGCCGTTAATCCCTAACCGCTTCATAATGTGTCTGCTTTGTCTTTGTATATTAGGGAGTGAGTGAAAAAGCTCAGCCCACTTACTATCGATTTAAAAAAAAAAATGTTTTATTGTAACAGCAAAAATGTGTACAAAGATGTGTTAAATGTAAGTGACAGTAAGGAAAGGGAGCCCCCATGTCTCTGTTTTCCGTCCCGGCCCGTCTGTGTGATGGTGTAAAGTAGGGATGGGACGGTTTCTGAAAACCGTCCGAACCGTTGGGTTGGACTGTCTCGGTTCGGTTCGCGTGTGTTGCGTTCGGTTCATGCTGCTCCTTTTTCTCAGAGGGAAGCGTTTACACTCCAGAGCAGAAGGGGGCGCTACTGCGCCCAAAGCCACCCACCAGTAGCAAACAAGAATAAGCAAAGCAGCGTAGCCGATAAAAATCAGACGCGCCAACAGCAGTTTATATTCTGCTGTATGGACCACTTTGCATTTAGAGGGAAGCACATGTTGGAATTAGCACTGTTTCCTCTCTGGCAATGCCAGAATCTCACCTACTTTTAACCTAAGACTGTCACAATAATGGATCAAATGTCAGACTGCTTTTTTCTTTCAGTTTTAACCTGACTACAAGACAATAGATTACCGAACATATACCGAATCGAACCGAAAACCGTGACCACGAAACCGTGCATCGAACCGAACCGTGGAATTTGTGAACCGTCCCACCCCTAATGTAAAGTCAGCTCGGTGTTGGGGGGTCTGAGTGGGTCTGGGGGGGCCTGTTCTGACGTTGGTGGGCTGCTTCTCTCTGGCTCAGGCTCCGGGGCCCCAGGGGGAGCCGGAGGGCACCGGGACCTGGAGGGGGATGCTGAAGAAGGGGGAGGAGGCCCCGGGCTCCGGGCCGGGAAGCCCCCTGAAAGGAGCCGTCAACCTGCTGGACGTGGTAAGCCCGCCCTGACCTCTGACCCCTGACCTACTGACCCCTGACTCTGACACGCCCCTCTGTTTGGCTCCAGCCCGTCCCGGTTGCTAGGAAGCTGTCGTCCAGGGAGCAGCGGGACTGCGAGGTCATCGAGCGCCTCATCAAGTCCTACTTCCTCATCGTCAGGAAGAACATCCAGGACAGGTGAGTGGGCCCCGGGGGGAGGTAGGGTTGTCACGATACAAAAATGTTCAACTCGATACCGATACTCAGGAAATTACTCGATACCATTTTCGATACCACAAGGATAAAAACAAAGACCCCAAAATTGAACTGAATTTTGACAGGCTAGTGTCTTTCATTTCAAACTGACCTGTTACTGATGTTATGGTGGCCTACATTAATGACCCTAATCCTAACCCTGACCCTAACCCTAACCCTAACCCTGACCCCAATCCTCCTCCCTTCATAATTGTGAGAAATAAATATTTTTTTGGTTAATCTTGTTTGGACTTATTGTACAAAACTATTTAACATCCACTATTTTAACATAATATTATGGATAGAGTTTAATTAAGTGTTTGAAAGATTCATTTCACTATTTTGAAATTAATGTCTATATTGCCATGAGGCGATTAGGATTTTCTTGCCTGGGATCTTCCTGTTGGTGACCTAATCAATATGGCCGATTGGATGTGGAGGAGTTGTATATGTACTTGATTACTGTTAGCGTGTTATTATTAGCCATTAGCCGCAGCTAGCAGTTCAAGGCTAACGTCTTGTTAATGATCATAAGCAATGTAAATAAATGCATAAATAAATCTGAGAGAAGAGGCACAGCGACGGCAGGTCAGTCGTATCCGGATACAACATTTTAGTATCGCTACTTTTGAGTACCCTGGTGGGGGGGCAGCCTTCTAACCAGCCGCCTGTCCCCCCCCCGCTGCAGCGTGCCGAAAGCGGTCATGCACTTCCTGGTCAACCACGTGAAGGACAGCCTGCAGAGCGAGCTGGTGGGCCAGCTCTACAAGTCGGGGCTCCTCAACGACCTGCTGACCGAGTCCGAGGACATGGCCCAGCGCCGCAAAGAGGCCGCCGACATGCTGCAGGTGAGCGCCCCCTGCTGGTGGTGTGTGTGTGTGTGTGTGTGTAGGGGTCACTGTGGGGTTTGTTTACGCTCCCCCCTCTGCTGCCCACAGGCCCTACAGAGAGCCAGTCAGGTGATCGCTGAGATAAGAGAAACACACCTGTGGTGAACAGCCCCCCCGAACCCGGGGATCTGCAGGAGGGACCTGGACGGTGGGGGGGGGGGGGGCCGGTCAGCCCCGGCGGGGTAGAGACTGTGCGGGGGGGGGGGGGGCAGCGCCGCAGAGCACTCGGCTGCAGGTTAGAAAATAAGGCCACACGCTTTCCTGCCCCTCCTCTACATCCTTTTTCTTTTGCACTACTGTGAGCACGCTGTGTTGTGAAGCTATTTATTTATTTCTGTGTTATTTAAATGTGGACGTTCCTCACGAGCACTGTCGAAACAAGTTATTTAAGAGGTTTACATACGGCTGCCTACATGTAAATGTTCCCAAAAGAAGGAATAAATAAATAAATAAATAGAGGTATTTTAAGGCCAAAAAAACACACCACATGTTCCTGAATCTGTTTATTTTTCGGTGAAACTTGCTGCTGAAGGCGAAGTGAGGAGCGATGCTCGGGACCCCGTGGACGTCTATCTCACCCGGCCTTTGCCCTTTCCTCTTCCTTTGGCGCTGGGGAGTCAGACAGAAACGTTTGAATCCATTTTAATCAAACAATTATGTTCCAGGCTTCAAAAGAAACGGCACATTCCGGGCTTTATTTTAAAGCCTTCCAGCTCCATCCTGTCTCCAGGTGTTGATCCCTCAGCCTGTTTGGCCCCAATGAGGAGAAGGCTGAAAAATGAACCCTGAAAGACGCCACTCTGACCCCAGGAGGACCGTGAAGAACAAAGGATGCACAGATCCTCAAAAGGGGAGAAGCGGCCTTCAGGAGGCAGGTGAGACCAGAGAGCTGCCTCCAGCTGATCCCACACAGCTTTAAACTGAAGCCTTGAATGTTCACTTTTTAATAAATCTGAATGGTTAGTGCTAAATATTATGGAGGGCTTTAATATAAAGACTGATTGGATTAATTTGGAAATCATTTAAATCCTTTTTCTCCAAGGAAAAATGTAAATCCTTAAACAGCTGGAAATATTAATATGCCGTTTCCTTTTGCCTTAAATGATCTCCAAACCATGCTTTTACCTCAAACGCTGCGTTTCATCGGCTGTGAGAGGCGGCGTATGAAAATGAAGCGGAGGTGAGATGAAAGCAAAGGGCAAACACCAAAGCCTCATGCCATTAGGAACGGACACGCCACAGCAGCTCGCACCGCTCGTGCCCCCCACCTTTGATGCTCTGCCTTTGTTGTCCTCTTTTATTTTTTTGAACCGCTGCCCAAAACATCTGACGCAGACACAAACAGCTAGCGGCTACTGGACAAACACTTACCAGCCGTCAGTACGTCCATCTCAGGCCTCCAAACCTGATCTACTGAGCTGCTCACAGGGTGTGAGGCTCCTTCTATTCTAACCCCTTCTTACCCTCTTTAGCTTAAAGAGACTGAAGCCTATCTGGTGGGGACCAGCAGGAAACTACGGTTAATGGAAGCCAACAGTCCACTCTGAGTCCCATGCTCCCGCTTTGATGAAAGCGGGGAGATGGGACTTTAAAAGGCCTCGGCCCCCAACAGCTGCCGGAGCTTTCCGGGCTTTTCCGGTTTGGATCCCCGAGGCTCTTTAACTGAAGCAGAGCAGGTCCACAGCAGAGAGCCGGGGCTAACACTTACGTCTGGGTGGCCTGAACCCGGGCCTGGAGCAGGTTGATCTGTGTGTGGGGGGGGGGGGGACAGAGGGACAGACATGGAGGACAGACTGAGACAGGACAGCAGACACAGGAGGACGCCCGGCGTCCCAAAGAGGGCCGAGGGC